CACACACACACACACACACACACACACACACACACACACACACACTCACACACACACACACACACACACACACACATACACGACCGCATGCACGCACATGTGCACACACACACACACACACACAAACGCTGACGAGTTGGTGTAAGACCGACGAAATGGTCTGGAACAGCCTTGTCTGTTTTGTGGATTTGTGTGTAGCAAACATGACAACAACACACACGATTCAACAGTGTTGTTATGAGTAAGCACCCCAGGGTCCATCTTACCAGTCTGGCCAGGCTTTGCTTGCTTTGATGAGTGTATTCTGCCTCTCACATGGACTCCCAAGTGGAGGTTCCACGCCAGGGTGAGTAAAGTTGTACCAATGGGAGAGGGATACTAGGCCTCACGACACACTCGCCAAATTTGAAAAAGACAGAAATGTGGCAGGTATGTCTTTCCACGGTCGAGCAGGAGATACATTCGCATTTATTCGCATTTTGCAACATTCGGTGAGTTGTGCGGTGAGGCCCACTGTGTGTCAGTGCTGTGCTATCCTATCAAAGCTCAGCGCAGCGCATGAGTCAGTGCGGCCCTGACCAACGTGCAGTGATGTGTGTAAAACTGGCATGAACCTGCCTTGATACTTGACCGGGTTCATGCTAAAGGATCAAAGGAGAGCTTTTTTGAGCTTTTTTTCCTAAGTGCTGATGATTGGCCAACGGTCTGAAACTCCCTGCCATGTTAAATCACCTGTACCCTCAACACTATATTAATCAACCGACAGTTTTTTTAAGAGCCTGGCCCACTGAACCGAAACGATGTTGGTCTAGCGGTAGCAGAAGAGGTTTGGGGGAGGAGGGGACGGATGCATTCTTTTGCTGCCAGCATTTGGTTTGCCATGAAGACATTTTCGTTTTCAGTTCTTAGCACCTTTGTGGACGGATCAGCTTTCCATTGATGTTACTGAAAATTTTCAGATTTTTTTCATACTTTTTACACATTTTTTTTCTAGGCTACCAGAGTGGCCCAGGACAACTTGCCCGGCCGGGCCACAATATATATATATATATGTATATGTGACGATATATGCTACGACTTCGCTAGCTTCCTGCTACGTTTTTTTTCGGTCATGTCGCGGCACTGGTCAGGGCCGTTACTAGGCGGCCATGCTGTGCCTCTAGTGCCAGCGGCGTGTCTGGAGTGTATTTTTTGGCTGTGACAGACCTTTCTTTGTTTCGTGGATGTTTTGCTGGCTTGTGATGGGGTGTGAACCGACAGTCTGTAGAGTTTTCCATCTGGTGTGGGTGAGTGATAGTCTACTTTGATTTTGGTTAA